TCCGCTTTATTTTTGACCTTTCCCCTTGATGATACTTAAAAAATAAGACTGACATTAATTCTGCACGTGAACGGGTGTTACGGGAAATTCTCTAATCTCATTTAAAACTTCTAGCTAAGTTGTGATTGTGTCAACCAAGTAGTTCTTTCTGACTCAAAAAGAAAAAGCAGTAACAAGACAAACAGCTGGATTGTGTTTAATTTTTAATAGGTCATTCCCGAATTTACTTGAAGTCCTAGACATTTAGCGAGGAAAATTCCCTAAAAGTGCTCAGAAAATTGCCAAATGTAATAGACAAAGGACCACTGTGAAATCTACTTACTCTATGCTGATTCAAAGGGTTCTTGTGAAAATTTGAAAATATGATAAAGTATTTATTCACATGGAACATTTGTGAGAGATATTTTAAGTCAGCGGCATAGGTACTAACATCTTCGATTGATAAAGATTAACGATTGTTAATTCCAAAAAATGTCGGCCTGCAGAGTGCGTCAAAATGATACAAATTAATTGCCTGCTCCGTATTGTCTAACTTCATGTACGGCTCATGAAGTGTAATAGGATAAATACTTTTACAATTTACAGGTAGCTTTGAGTACAATATAGAGGATTTCGTTTGTCCAGCCAAACCTCTTGACAACGGTTCAATCATACCGTGCTCAAATGCAGGACTCAACTCATCACAGACATATATTTTTGCTAACCACACGGAGACGGGAGATAATAGACTCATTTTTATAAAAGTTTCTTCTATTTCTGCCTCCAGTTCATTGTCTGAACTTGGATCAGACACTGTTGAGAAAAAGATGCCGCCAGGATTTATTACACAAACATCAGCAACTGTTACCTCTGAAAGATTTAAAACAGAAATTCTGCAGTTTCTGAAGATTTCTGCACTAAGCACACATAAAAACACACAAGAATCATCTAAAGTACAGGAAAAGTCATCTCTGAGAATTAAACCCTCGGCCACAAAGCTTCTCTTGGAAAAAATGATCACCATAAACTCAACTGCGATGTTGAACACAAATCCAGACAACATCCTTCTTCAAAGGACATCTATACCAAAAACCCAATCCGAGTCAATCAAACAGTCATTTCCTCAACACACTTCAACAGCCACTTGGTGGTTCCCTGAGAGTAGGGCCATCTTCCAGTCTGTGAAGACGTTGGCATTAAACACACTACAAAAGCCTCATTACAGCACACGCCATCAGGGCAGTTTATTCCAAATCCCTTTACAACGTAATGTGCAAAAATCGACTCACTCGATCAAACAACCATCTCCATTTTATAACCCAGCATCCACAAAGGTTATTATTCGAAGAATGACTACCATGGAAAATTCAACAAAGCTTACATCATGGTACATCTCATCTAGTAGCGTTTCACGAAATACTTTCGTGCTCTCGAACGTTCTCACCCATACGTCATGGAACTCAATCGAACAGTCATCCACTCCAAATCCACCCACAACCACAACTAGATTTGTTGAAAGCGCAGCCTTCCTTAAGCAGTCGATGACGATGCTTACAAATCAAGAGCCCATTCCGACCAGCAACGTACCTCAAAGAAACAACAAAATGCAAACCTCATCACACTCAATCGAGCATTCATCTCCTCTAAAATCCCCTGCGACCAAAACCAGCGTTTCTGAAGGCGGAGCCATACTCAAGTCTTCAATAACGAGAATCTCAAATCACAATTCCATCCTTACCAACCCGTTGCCTCAAAGGGACAACACAACACAAAAGTCACCACACTTAATCGAGCAGTCATTGCCTGTAAACTCACCCACAACCACAACCACAACCACAACCACAACCACAACCACAACCAGATTTTTTGAAAGTGCAGCCATCTTGAAATCTTCGATGACAAAGATCACCAAACAAGAGCCCAGGCTTTCCAGTAAACTACCTCAAAGAAACAACATAGCGCACTCAGTCGAACAACCATCTTCTCTAAATTCACCCATTAGTATCACCAGCACTTTACCTCGAAAAAACAGCACAACACTTATGAAAATTCAGCCTACGAGAACAACTCAGCGACCTTCAGAAACTAGCCATCTCAGTAACAGCACAGGTAACGTTATTCTGGTTTCTGTTTGTTACTCTTTAAGTGCCCTTTGTGATACATGTAGTTCTTACAGGAGGTGAAATAAGAGTGAACGAAATTTGGTAGTTAGAAACATTGAATCGGTAACAGAATACAATAATATTAAAGGCATATCTTGAATGGCAGCTTTCCGTTTAGATGTTGCTTCGTGTTAGTTAACTTTGCTTGTAGTAATTTTTTATTTCACTTTTCCATCAAAAAGAAATCCCTAGATATTTTTGATGACTACAATGTATGAACCGATGGAGAGGTATCATAATTAAAATATCAAAACATCATAAAAGAACTTTGCTCGAAAAAATTGGTAAAATGATTTCATCATTGATTAGCCACTCTGATTTGTATGGAATTCTTAGCATGTACACGAGATAAGGCTCTTGGCATGAAAAATGGTGATATATCTGATGCACAAGTAAGCGCTTCCTCACAGTTGGACAACAACACTGCTGCGGCCCAGGGTAGGTATACATTTAAACAAAGTGGTAACAAGCAGGGCGGTTGGTCAGCTCTCACAAATGATCTCAACCAGTGGCTCCAGGTTGATCTCAGAGGACATGACATTAAGATAACCAGAGTAGGAACACAGGGAAAAAATGGTGGTGAGATGCAGTTTGTCACGACTTATAAGCTGCAGTATAGTGATGACAAAGAGACCTTTGAGTACTACAAAGATTCAGGACAGCCTAAAGAGAAGGTTAGTAGTCTTCGTCATGAGGAAAGGTAAAGTCTGTTTAAGAGTTAAGTGGCCTATCAGTCCGGCGCTTAAATCCGGTTTCTGTAGCATGAAGCGATTAGCTAGGGGTATTTCTAATCTCCCCTGGATGGGATGCTAGTCCATCGCAAGGTTACTCCCAGCATTTAATTTGCCGGAAACCATTTAAACACCTGGGTGAAGAAAGGCACTGTGAAAGTAAAGTGTCTTGCCTAAGAACACAACACGATTTCCCCGGCCAAGGCTCGAACCAGGACCACTCGAACTGGAGTCGAGCGCACTAACCATGAGGCCACCGAGCCTCCCTCATTATGAGGAAGCCACATTCAAAATTGGTGGCCTAAAATTTGGTAGAATTAAATTTTGAAATCTGGAGGGAAGGGGCGATCTTTTCATGTGATTTATAAATTTCATATTTTTGGATGTATTAAAGGAATTTAAACAATTTTATTCACGGCAACATTTCTGTTAGTTCTTCACTGGCAAGTGTCACATGCAGCATGCGTTTAAGCAAGCACGATACCTACCGAGTTACCCTGGCCGAGTAAGCTTTTATTAATTTCTTTTGAAAAATTCGACCAAACCTTAACAAGAAAAAATAACGAACTCGTCTCGGGAAGATGGGTCGTCTCGCCTCGGTCGGTAGGACAGCCCTGTTAGTCGGGAAAACTTTCGCCCGTGCGAAAAGTGAACACACTGGTGAGGGAACAGCTGTTACAACTGACGACTACATATAAATGCTCCGTGAATTTGTCTTGAGGGGAGGGTTGTTTTGGGTACGCAAGAGCATAGAAATATGGCCCAAGAGTTTCTTAAGAGGAATAACCAAAAAGGGCACGTATGAGTTTTTTATTCCCTTAGCTTAATACAAGCGCTCTAGAGATGATTGCCATTATGAGCTTTAGCGACAACCAGGTTTTTACACGTTGATGTTTAGGTATTCATTGGTAACACGAACAAGAACGATTTTGTTGTCCACGAGTTAAATCCGCCAATCAGGGCACGTTTCATTCGTTTTCGACCAGTAACCTGGCACAAACACATATCAATGAGAGTGGAATTGTTTGGCTGTCAAGGTAAGCAGATGACGCTTCCTTTTACAAAAAATGAGTGTTATTTTTTTTTTTTAAATGAAACAGGACAGTTTTTCATTTGAGAAATGAACATATCTTCGTTTTCTTTATTAGATCTCAACATCATTTATTCTTGGACTGAATGGAGTGATTGGTCTGTTTGTAACAAGCCTTGTGGAGGCGGTTTACGCAAAAGATCAAGGGAATGTGTAGCTGAATCAGTCATCAAAAACAGCGCAGAATGCAACGGAGAGAACGAGGACGTGGAAATTTGCAAAACACATCCATGTAAAGGTGCAGTACTGTCGGTGAAGAGGTCGTTAAGCTAGCCACTGGCTATGGTCAATAATAACTAATGGCGAGAAAAGGACACCGTGTTTGTAACACTGATGACCGCAAGAGTTACGGACAAATTATTTCCTTTACCAACATCCGTTATCCGTTATTTCTTCGGGTCATAGAGCATGATTGAGATGTCTCATGCAAGTCTTAAAATACAAAAATCTTGTTTACACCCCGACCTGGCCAATCTGATTGTTTCTATGCGACGGCATGGTTTATTTCTCAAGTTAAATTGGCAAAATTGTGACCTAATTCCAACCTAAACCCCTAAACTACAACTTCTTGTCACATCCAAATTTATAATTATTTTAATACCTACTTGTGTTTTCCTTCAATCCTTTGGAAATTTCATAGTTGTACCTTTGGATGTTGAGGCACATCTTAGTGAAGAGAGCTGGGATGACTCACTTCTTGACAAGAAGAGCGTCTTATTCAAAACTCTGGGAGCCAAGATAGAGAGAAACGTAAGCTTCCACTGCTACTAATGATGTTAAACTTTTAACGTCGAACTAGCATCAATAAGCAACAGCGTAAGCATTTTGAGAAACGAGCTCGAGTCGAAAGTGTACATGAGTTTACCTAGGCAGAGATACGGAAAAAATTTGGAAGTAGCTTAGAATACTTACCAAGAACTATGTAAAAGCTTTAAATGTTTTTTAAAAATCCACTTAACTACTTGCCAGTATTTCATCAGTACATAAGGCAATTTGACTCTTATTTTATTTTCAATTTTTACCATTTAGATTCGAAAAATGTATTCTGGGAATTCAAAATTAGTGAACGTTACTTTGAATCACTGCAGGTAAGATTTGAATTAATGTTCCTAAAAAAAAACCCAGCATTTTATTGAAAAACAGCTCAGGGTCCCAAGTTTAAGATCTTAAAGAAAATTCCTATTTTTCTGTAATTTTGCAGAGAAGGAAGTGTAATTGTAAATTTTACCATCACATTCCGTGTACTGGACTCGAATGAGTTGCTGATATTCACGGATGCCACTGAAAAAAATGGCAGGATAGCAGACCTGGAAGTTTCCTCTGCTACTCTTTCGGTAACAGGAGGTTAGTCCATTCCAATGCTGTTGATTTAATAGGCGTAGCTTTCCCCACTGTGCATTCATACCCGTGTGATTGGTCACCAAAATAGGATATACTTACAATGGTTCAGTCGTGTGGGGGTGGTACCTCTACTCGAAAAAAATATACTTAGCGCTATGAAAGTACCTTGTCATACTAAAGAAGGAAGTGGTTTCGGCCGCTTTTAACTGTTTTTGTGCTTTTTGTTTTTTGGGTTTTTTTTTTGGCGACATGGGGTTGACTACACGTCACATTGATGCCCAATTTGGTTTGCACATTTTTCGATCGAAGAAATTAGGAAAAACTCGCTTTTTATGTAAATATAGAATTTTGTTGAATGTCTTTCAGTTCCTAACCAGACTCCTGAAATAACCAAGATTTACCTGACAAGCGCCACTAGTGTTAAAGTATCCTGGATGCCAGTCACTGACGGCCCAATCAATGGATATCAGGTCGCCTTTCGTCCACTTAATGATGAGACGTGGAACACAGTCGCTGTTAATCGCCATACTACCAACCTTCATCAAACGGATCTACAAGAAGGAATAGTGTACAGGATAAGAGTTATGGCATTCAACGAAAATGGAAATGGGCTTCCAGGGGAAGGTGAAGAAATAAAGATGGAGGAAGGAGGTGTGCTCTTACTTTTATGTACTACAAATCATTTAGAGAGATTAAAGACCTCATTATCATCTTCCAAAATTGTACATTACAGTTGAGCTCTCTACGAGATATCACATTTGCTAAAGTAACAAGTTTACGTGATAGGGCGTCACAATTCCTAAGCTATTCTCCTGGCAGGAATTAAAATGATTGATATAGCTCTATTTCTCAGCAGTTATTCTCTTTTCATCCGAATTTATAGACAAAGACATCATTAGTGTAGACAGTTGTGAAAATGCTGATGGGAGGGGATGAGTAGAAAATGAGGAAAGAGAAAGAAATAAATAATCAAAAAAAATCTCTAAAGTCTCCCCTCTGATAGCTCAATCGCAAATTTGAATGCTTCTCTGGACTAGTACCTTTCATCAGTAACATGCTTGCTCAATTAAGACTAATGTGTTTTTTTTATCAGTACCAGAGGCAGCTCCACTTGTAACTGTAGAAGACATGACATCCCCACATTCGTTTGCTGTTTCATGGACACCTTTGCCAGAGGAGTATGTAATGGGCAGACTGCTTGGCTATCGTGTCATCTTTAAAGCTGTAAAAGCTGCTGATGAACGAGTAGATAACAAAGAGGCCACCTTGACTGTCGATGGTCCAGAGGTTCTCCTTGTAGAGCTTACTGGATTGAAAAGTTATACATCTTACGTGGTTCAAGTAGCTGGCTTTACATCCAAGGGAGATGGACCATTATCAGCCGAGGTGACGGGAGGTAATGGGAAGCTTATAGCATATTTAAAAACGGTGACTGCCCATTTTTCAGGGGAAAGCAGATTTTCGTCGTTTGGGCAAACGCCTGGAAAAGTTCCGAATGAAAGATTCCGCTCAAAATTAACAAAATACCTTGGCAAAACTTTTGTGAAAAATTGAATGGAGCATTTAACTTTCCAAGCGCTATCGCAACCCAAATATATATCGTCTACAGTTTTCTATGTAGGCAAACAAAAGTCTAGTAGTGCTACTGTCTAGAAAAATAAAATAAAAGTGAATGTTGAACAGCTAACGCTTTTGAAGGTTGTGTGCTCATAAAAATGCCGATCACCTCGTCCTGGCTTTATTACAGTATTGTGCAAAAGTAATGCAAACGATAATTGCCGAATATCGCGCATTGTTCTTCCAATACATCGCCGATATATCGTCCAAATATCGTGCATTTTATCGTCACTTCAGAACGATAAATGGACAAAATATCGGAGTTATCGTACAATATTTCGTTCCAATGATAAATATATCGTTCCATATAACAATATATCGTTCCAAAGAAAAATCTTTCGAGTGATATATCGTTCTCGCGATGCATTGCTCGAACGATTTATCTTAGAGCGGCGATATATCGCCCCAAATATTATCTTGGAGCCAGGGATTCATCATTGTGACATATCGCTCGAACAATATATCGTCTCAGCGGGTTTTTTTTTGTTTTGTTTGGAACAAACGCTTGCCTTTTAGAGCGAAATTGCTAAACCAATTTGTTTTATGGGTTATATACAGTTTACTTCTGTGGTCTCAGAAATAGTATCGTTGCCCCAGAATAGTATCGTTAAATGACAGCGTATAAAGAAAGCACAATATTTTGTTTCGAACCATGATAACGAGTTGAGGTTTTACAGTATTAGGAAACTTGGCAAACCTCAAGGGAAATATTTAGATTGAAAATTTCAATGAACGACGATGGGTTGCAAAAAATTAATTTTATTAAAGACCAGTATTGATCACAGTCTCTAATGGTTAAATGACAAGCACATTATTGACTATCAGTAACCCTAATTTAACTCATTTCTTGATAACAGAAACCTGTCGTTGCCCAGGGGTATTCTACACCAATTGGGCGGTACTTCCTCCATACGTCACCAAATCAATTCGCAGTCAGTCACCGCAAGGAATTATTGGCACTTTTGTTGAAGAAATGCTGTCAGAGTCTTGTGGTGTATGCAAATCACATGGACACACCTCTCTGAATTTTAAGACCAATGGCAAAGGAGACACAGCTTATAAAACCACTATGAATGAAGTTATCTTAGACGTTAACAGTAAGACAGCGATTAGCTTTCCTGTAACGGGGACTATGGATAATGACAAATTTCAAAGGTATTATGTATTTGTTCCTATGGTGGAGTCTCCTGGAATGGCCTTCATCACGGTTCGTCAGAAGGATGGAAGTAAAAACAGAGTCATATCGACTCTTTTAAAGTATTTGCCTTTATACCTGTTTTGTTTAATGACGGCTTACGTGGCTGGTACCATCATATGGGCCCTGGTGAGTGGAACTGGCCTTGTGCTTTCTTTGTTTATGTGGTTATCCTCATCCACGTCGCAAGTGAAAGTTAAACCCTTCATTGTAAGCTACCTTCAAATGGAGATAGCCTGTCCCCTTTTCTTCCTTAAAAAAAAAAATATTGTCAGGTTGTTTTGTATTCGCAAGCAGACACTCCAGGCCAGAGCTAGGATAGGTGGATAGTTATAGCGTGAAGTAACTGTGTTAGGTTGTTCACGATTACTCTCAAAATAAAACCAACGAAATGGCAGTAACAATCTCCCTGATGCCCAGAATGCCTACTGTGAGTTACTATTTTTCATTTCTATGCATCGTGCAGGACACAGTTACAGTTCTTCGAGAGGTAAATGCGCTATATATTACGTAGGCATGCATCAAAGCAATTATCACCGAAACTCCAGGTTTCTCATGTATCCTTCTTTGTCATTCAGGAAACAAGCCGGGATGACGGTTTTGCCCACTCCTTTATCAAGGGAGCTGTTGAAGGATTTTGGTTTTCCTTCATTTCCATGACAACTGTCGGGTAAAGCACGAAATTATTATCGCAGCAATGATCAAATGAAGACAAGAAAACTATTAATATCTTTATCTTCAGCTTTATTAAAAAGCGATTAATCATGACACGTAAAAAATTCAGTAGCGACGTCATTGGACCTCATAGAGTGACGGACTAGTGTCCAAGTTTTCTTGCTTTCGTTCCACACGGCACAATTGATGGAACTTGACCAAAGGAAACATATAATAGCTGACAAAGTCTCTTAAGTTTGTTTGTTAAATCTCATAAATGTGCCCATTATCATATTTTTAGTTACGGAGATAGAGTTCCTACGGGAGTTTGGTCAAGGCTGTTCACGGTGGCCTGGATCTTAACTGGCCTTGTTATGGCTTCGGTACTTATAGGAGTACTGGCTACCTCGCTAACGTTTCACACGATAGAAAAAGATATTATGTTGTATGGAACAAAGGTATGTTAAATCTGAACCTTTGGGATTGCATGAAGTAAATTAATAACAAATCATAATTAACATATTCGAATCTAGTACATCACCAGCCACAGAGTTATGCTCTTGGTCCAAATCGTGTTAGAATAGGAGTGCCAGTGTTTATGGAGGGAGGAAATCACTTAGTGCGACGATCGAAAATAGGCTGCAACTAAGGGAGCCGTGTGCTGTCTCCGTCTTGTTGCCCTATACAGCCTGGATCTCGTTCAAAACACTAAACTAGTCTTTCCTAGTGAAGCTTAAGTAACAAATTAACAAATGGTAAACACCCCAACGTACACTATTGAGTTATGGATGCACGCGGGAGGTTGCTAAGCACGAAAAAAGCGTAAGAGTCGCGCGAGGCGATAGCCGAGAGCGACTCTGGCCTCTTGAGTGCTTAGCAAACTTCCCAAGTGCATCCATAACTCAATAGTGTACACTGCAACGTTTACCATTCGTTTTATGACATAACATTGCTATATTGTAGCAAAAGAGTTTTCTTTTATTTAACAAATCTTACGTGACCAGAAAAAACAAGCGCGTACGGAAAACTAGTCTTTGCATTTGCTCAAGTCAGCAGTGTACACCCATGGGAAAATGGTAGACGCTGAATTGGCCAATCAGAGCGCGCGCTTTACTTTGGTTATGTTATAATTAACAATTAGTTCATACGTCAGCGTGCGTTCCTCGAGATATGAAGCACACGGGAAGTTTGGAGAGCACGAAAGATGCGTCAGAGTTGCTCGAGGCTACGCCTCGAGCAACTCTAGCCTCTGAGTGCTCTCCAAACTTCCCAACTGCTTCATAACTCGATGAACGCACAGCTGATGTATGAAACCTTTGTTTTACAACATTTTCAACGCTGTAGTTTATGTATAAAGGGCAGAAATTCCCTCCCCTACGCTTCAATGCGTTGTTTATTTTGTTTCGGAAAAGTATTTCGTCATGCTTTAATGATCTTGTCTCTGATTGGTCAAAAACTGACAGGTGAATTCATGGGTGGAGATGAAGTTAGAGTTCCGAAACGAGATGAAACCGTTGATTGTATGTTTCAAACAAAAAATCTCATGTAATGATCAATTATAGATGTACCCAATTATTCCTGACCTTTACGCCTTGAGGTTGAACTCATATTAACACAACTAATTGCAACGAAATATATAAATTGAAAACCAAAAGTAATAATGATAACACAGAATAAAAGGGACAACTAGGAATTGAATAAAAATATCTGAATGTAAATGTAATAGACAAGTAAAACGTATGGTAATGAGAAGGCTGTATATTAATTATTGAACTTAAACCTTAAATCAGTTTTTGAGGTGCATGGATGTTTCAGAGCTGTCAGTCTCTTCGTAGGTAAACGTATTCATACTTACTTTTTTTCTTTTGAGATTTTTTTCACTTCTCAGCATTATCAATTATCCTTTGCAGACAACGAAGATTATTAAAGCAGTACCCAGAGTAAAAACGAAGGGACACACATTTTGTTTGATTTTATGATCGTATATGATTATTTAGATAGGTAGCGTGGAAATTCATTTTTATCGTAAATATCTTCTTGGCTTCCATTCTTGTCAAGGTGACGGCTCTGGCTGATTCGGCGGCGCACAGACTTGGCGTCAGAAGAAATGCTCTCATCAGTGAGTAGGAAAGATGTAATTCTAATGTTATTATACTTGTTTCTGAAGAAAGAAATAAAGGATTGCTATTTTGAGTATTTTTAGGTTTACCTTTTGTTTTGATGAGTCTCGCCTTTTTGCGTCTACGTTGTTATTTTGGTAGATCTATAGTTTTGATCATTTATTTTTAGTGTGTGCTTGAACTTGGCTCAGTTCTTTCCGTGCTAGACATTTTAATCGCTTGTTGTGGTTGAGGATAATTAGTTTCATAGGTGGTCATGTTTGGGTTGGTAAAACTGACCTTGAGTTTTACCAACACTGAATATCCTGTTTTGGAAATTCCCACGGTCAGCTAACCCAAACATGTCTGTGATTTTTACATTAAATGCGAGGGCACTCCTTGCTGAAGTAAGAAGAGAAATAGCTGTGGTAATAGAAGGTAGTAGCAACAATAGGAGAGTAGATAATAAAGAAGAAAATTACAGAGTCTTGATACCTCTTGTTAATTCGCCAAGCGAGTGGTAAAAACGCCTCAACACATATTACGATGCACGCAAATCGTGGAAAAAAGTAGAGTAGCGTTTCGTCTTTCGTCCACGGTTATTGACGGGCAACATTTCTTCGACAAAATTTTAAATTACGTATATGGAGATGTTAACATTGAAAGAACGTAAAATTTGGTGTCAACTGTAAAAGAAAAGTACCTTATACGTTTGTTTTTGCCTTCAAACAAGAAACACCTTGATGCTCATTCTCTCTAGTTCCAAAGGTCTCCACTTTTACTGAGGGTTTACAATTATCGTCCCCATTGTTTCACCAGGGCCACAAGACACTTTACAGGAGGCCTATAAATCTCTAGAGCAGGGCGAAGTCAAAGGACTGTTGTTAGATGCCTATGTCGCTGGAAGTCGCTCCATCAAACATCTTTTTGACCAGCAGCTGCGGGTCAAGGAAGTTATAAAGCTACCAAAAGGGTTTGGAATTGTCTTGTCGGGTGAAGCAATGAAGCTACAGAAGCGAATTCGTGATTACATCAGAAATAACGCTGGACTTATCAGCAAAATGATCGAAAACAGTACCTCTCCATTACAGGTTAATTTCAATAAACTTTTCAGTTCCTGACATTATATTGGCATGTCTTCATCCTTGCTGAACGCTTCACTCTGATTTATATATGAGAACTCGCTGTTATGAGAACAACATAGACAAGTAAGCTGTCAATCTTTTCCCCTTAGCAACCAGAAAAAAGTGAGGCCGAGGAACAGGCCACAGAGCTGTTTTCTGTTGACTCTTCATTATTTCATGAGATTCTTTTGGTGCTGTTGCAAGCACTTGGAGCTGCTGTCTTCTGTGGTCTTGTTTGGGAAGCCATCCGTAAACTTCTTGCTCAAACAAAAACAGTATTTCCAGGTAAGTCGGTCGGTCAGTCCTTCAGTGACATTTTCTTTATTGAGCCATTCGTCTAGGAAATGAAAACGTCAGTTAGTCGTACGGTTATTCAGCTAGCCATTACAGCACGCATTCAACTTTTACATGTACTTCGTCTTTTTGATATTTAATCAGTCAGTTAGTCGATGGTTCGGGAGCCGACCAATGCACGGGTGAGCGAGTAAGTGAGCTAGTGAGTGAGTGAGTGAGCTAGTGAGTGAGTGAGTGAGCTAGTGAGTGAGTGAGTGAGCTAGTGAGTGAGTGAGTGAGCTAGTGAGTGAGTGAGTGAGCTAGTGAGTGAGTGAGTGAGCTAGTGAGTGAGTGAGTGAGCTAGTGAGTGAGTGAGTGAGCTAGTGAGTGAGTGAGTGAGCTAGTGAGTGAGTGAGTGAGCTAGTGAGTGAGTGAG